GTTCCCGCAAAAAGGCCAGGTCGAACAAGGTGCTATTTTTAATCGTGGAACATTTTCTTTTGTGTCCAAAACTGTAGATATAAATTTGTAACTACTCAGGATTCCAAATTGCATCTTGTAAGAAGTGCACAGACACATCAGGCAGTGAACCAATAATGTCCTAATTTCCATTTAGGGTGTATACCTTGCGCAAGGGCACGACCACCCTCTACGCCGGTAGATTCCTCGGCTGCCTCGTCGTATTTCGTAACAACTCGCGAATCCTTACAGTTATGGAGACAGTTGATTACGCAGCCGATTAGCCCCCCCGCTCTTAATTAGCTCCTTTTCTCTCACTCTCTCTCTCTTTCTCTCTCCTTCCCTTCTCAATCTCCCCCTCCCTTTCACATCGCTCTCTCGGTTGGTCCTGGCGCGCCCAACACCACAAAATGGCTAACAATCACGAGATTGCAGGCTGCTGCCGTTTCTAATCAACATTTCACTGCGCATTGTTAAGTTTGCAGCTGAGTGGGTGTTTCCCAACAGATGGCTGCGTGATTGCATTATCGTGGACCCATACCCCCCCCCCCCACTCTCTCTCTTTCTCCCTCTCACTTTCTCTCTCCCTCTCACTCTGTCTCTCCAACCTCTCTAATTCAGACCACTCATCGCACTATGTTGCTACCCGTACTTCACTATTTCACGCTCTTCGGGTAGGCCAGGCGTATTGGTTTTTTTTCGGGGTTTCCGGAATCTATCCGTCCGCATCCATCCATCCATCCATCCATCCATCTATCGCAATGTGCCGCCGCCTCAGTATCTCCGCTCCCGTGCGCACCGACAATGGCGAGGGCTGCCCCACCACCATCCTCACCTTGCCTGCCGTGCTGCCCCAGCCCAGAGCCCCAGAGAGCGCCAGAGCGAGACCACCAGGCCAGCATCGAGAGGAGAAGGCGGCAAAGTGTAATTATTCTCACACCTGCGCGCTTCCCTATTGAATCTTGTGCTGCTCCGCAGGCTCCGCAGGGCCACCGCCCTCCGCCCCCCGCAAGCTCCCACCAACAAGCGCCGCTGTGCGGTTTGGGTCGGTCACACCGCGCCACGCCTCTGCCCCCCCCC